TCTTCTGGAAGCAGTTGACGTGATTCTCTTGAAGTTGAAGTCAGATCTCAGAATTTAGCTGTCAACATGCCAATGTACCCTTCCTCTTCTCGGAGTAAAACCCAACCATTCCCATGGTGTTCAAAGGCTAGATCAGACACAGAGTGATGTCCATCCTCACAGCTCTGATAGGTAAACACTGGAATTCTACTGAATGCAGTAAGAAAAGAAATACAAGAATATAGCAGGTACAAACCAGAAAATGAAAGAAATAAGTGTCATTTATCTTTGATGGTGAGATAATTATATATTTAGATAACGTGACAGAATCTACAGGAATGCAATAGTAACTAAAAAGGTAATATTAGTGAGGTGAATGGATATGGAGTCAATGTAAGTCCAATATGTAAACCATTGATACTGAGAACGGAAATTATCATCCTGCCAGTCTTCCAAAGCCTAGCCAACACTGGCGCCCTCAAACAGTGAGCAAAGGAGCATTACCAAACTGATTCTACAAAGCTACCATCAAAATAACGCAAGGGCAGGGAAAAGAAAATCAAGAAGTCTACAGACTAATATTGAAAATACACACAGAGGTTCTCAATAAAATACTTGCAAACGGAATTAAAGAGCACCATTACCAGGTTGGCTTCATTCCAAGGAAGCCGAGATGGCTCAACAACAAATCAATAAGTGTAACACAGAGCGTGAATCGACTTGGGGACAGAAATCATGTGTTCATCTCCACAGATGTAAAAGAGGCCTTTGACAAAGTTCAACTTCTCCTTAACAATAAAATCCTTGAGGGACCAGAAAGGAAAGAACATATATCAACACAACAAAGCTATGTAGGAAAATGTATGGCAAGCAATTTAACAAGTGGACAAAACCTGGGAACATTTCCTTTGAGGGTGCCGACTCTCTCTGCTCTTATTAACTATACTTGTCAATGACGAAGTTGAAAGCACCTACTTGGAGATGGGGGATCCTATGATTAAACAGCCCTGCCTGAGGACTCCACCAGAAAACTCTTAGAATTGATAAGCACAGCAAAGTGGCAGTGTGCAATCCAACATATAAATCCTGGTAGCTTTTCTGTAAGTCAATAATGATCCTACTGAGAAAGAAAGCATGAAAAAAATAAATAAAAAGCCTACTCACTGTAGGATTTCAAAAAAATAATAATAATAAATGTATAAAAACCATCTTAACTGGGAAGATGAAATACCTTTATAAGAAAAAAAAATAAACACTAAAGGTAAAAATTGAAGAAGGTGATAGAAGATGGGAGCAGGGAGCCCAAGCTTATGAACTAACAATTAATTCTGTGAAAAAAATCACTACGTTCCAGAAACGACCCACAGCTTCAAAGCAGTCCCCACTGAAGTTTCTATTAAGTTCTTCCCGGAAGCTGAATTCACATGGATGGAGAAAGGACATAGAGGAGGCCCAACACTGCTGGAGGTAGCATGATAGCTAACTTTAAATTACATTACAGAGCCCGGTGACAAAGACAGCGTGGCCCGGCATGTATCAATGGGGCAGAATAAAGTATCCCAAAATAACCCTGCACAGCTACAGCTTTGACAATGGTGTTGGAGGAACCCTCATTAGAAGAAAGCCTCTCCAGCACATGGTGCTGACAGCGCTGGATGTACACTCATGAAAGAGCGAGATTAGATGCACATCTTTCTCCTGCAGGGGGGGAAAAACCAGGATCAACTCAAAGTGTAACAAAGACTTTAACACAAAACCTGAAACTCGGAAACCGTTAGTGAAAATTCCAGGTAAAAACCATTAAAAAACACAGACATAATAAGGGATTAAAAAAAAATATTTAGAGAAGTTTTTTTTTTCCATTTTACATACCAACCCCAGTTATCCCTCCCCCCCCATCCACCCCTCAGAAGGGTGAAGACCTCCCTTGGGGAGTCAAGGAAGTCTGGTATACCAAGTTGAGGCAGGACTAAGCCCTTCCCCCATGTATCAAGGCTGAGCAAAGCATCTCACCATAGGGAATGGGCTCCAGAAAGCAAGAAGGGATATTTATGAAGCACTGTAAATAGTATGGAAGTAAACACTCCCAATATCAAATGGGAGGGCACAAAATTGAGAAGCTTCTGCACGGCAAAGGAAGCAATAAACACAGCGAAGAGACGGCTTTCAGAATGGGAGAAAAATCTTTTGCAATTATGTATCTGACTGGGGATTGATATCTAGAATTTATAAGGAGCATTAAAAATTAAATACTGCACCAGATCAGCCAATCCATAAATGGGCCAATGAATTCAGTAGACAAAGAAAGTCCCAAAGAAAGGAAGAGCAGTGGTCAATAACCATCGGAACAAGTGTTCAGGATCCTTAGGCATTGGTGAAACACAATTACAGCTGCTCTGATATCCGCCTCACCTTAGTCAGAATGGCCATCACTAAGAAAACCAGTGCCAATGTCAACAAATGCTCATGAGGAGATGGAGGAAAGGAACCTGTGGATGCCACTGGGAAGAATATAATTTGCTTCCTTGCCCGTAGAAGTCATTGGGGGACGTTTTTCAAAATGCTGAAAGTAGAGTTGGGTTATGACCAGCTATACTGTTCTTTGGGTACGCTGCGATGGCTATTGTCAGCTGCTAGCCTGGCAGAATCTAGAATCAGCTGGGACATGAGCCTCTCGACAAGCCTGTGACGATTAAATACACTGAGGCGGGAAGACGTGGCCACTGTGGATGGCACTCATAGCCTAAGAAAGCGAAGAAAGCAAGCTGGGTTCCTGCATGCTCTCCGCTCTTTTGACAGCTGGTGTGATGTGACCGCTCTCCCCCCAAGCTCCTGGTGCTGCGAAGTTACCCTGTCGTGATGAACCATAACCCGGAAATGTAAGCCAAAAGCAAGCCATCTCTATGTTATATTTTCATCATAGCAATGAGAAAAGGAACTAAGACAGCACCCAGAGGGCTGCCAGTCAGTTTGGCACTGCCCAATAATATTTGGTGCTGCACTGTTCGTTCATAACGTCCAGGATTTGGGTCCAGCCTAGATGTCTGTCTAGAATGGATCACTGACATCTCTTTCTCTGAGCAGCATGCAACACTCTTTGTTTCTGTGCGTTACAGACTTTTCATGGCTGTTCCTATCCTTTGTAGCTTCTTGCTTGAGGCAGGGTTTTGTTTTCTTGGCTCTGTTTCCTTCTGCTTTTCCAACACTGTGATAGAATTTTACAAGAGATCTCATGTTTTCCTTCAGTCCGAAGCTGGGATGAGAGAGTGCTGCCGCTCAAGTTTCAGCCTGGGCTTAGTGCGCCATCTGGAGGAGAGACAAGAAAGGGCCCCGGCTATTTAGCCTGCAAAAATTTGGGGCTCCTCCTAACTCTATAGCGATGTTCATGGACACACAACCAGAGAAGGGTTGACAATAACCTCTGGAGGAAAGAAGGGCTTCTTCAAAGCTGATGTTGGGTGAGAGTCAAGTGGACAGAGAAAAGAAACTGGGCTGGCGAGAAGAAAACAGAGGCCCTGAAATGTGGATGGTTGGGGAACGTATTTAAAAGTCCGTCTGTTCCCTTGAAAGTCTCCTTGTGTGTTTGGCTCTGTGTTATACATTGGGGATTCAACTTCGAGAAACACGAGTGTCACCCTTGCCTTGGTGGACTGTCTAGCGGGGTAGGAGAACACTAACTAGACCATTGTAAGAGTGATGAGAAGTATTTCATGGATGCATAGTGTGGCCATAGATAAACAACGTACCTGGTCATGGACATACATTCCTCTTCTAAGAGAGAATCTTGGGGGGGGGTGTGGTTCAGTGATATTCGCTTGTCTAACATGCTCAGAGCCCTAGGCCTGATCTCCAGCGGCCTTGGCCCCTGCCATGTTAAACAAGTGAGTACCACCGAGCTACATCCCGGGATCCAAAGATATGGATGGGTAGATAGACGAGCTCCCCACCACAGCCGCATGTGTTTGTTCTTGGCCCACAGCTGATGGTGTGGAACTTCTGGACACAGACTACTCAGGATAGGGTGGGCCTCGACGGCTACAGTCTGCTTTTACTTCCCTTGTATATATCTGCTGATATATAATCAACGTAGAGAGCAGGCTCCTGCACTCTCAGGTACCACAGTACCTTCCCTGACACAAAGAACTCTATTCTTTTACACCAGGAACAAAATTATACCTCTCCTCATTTGAGTTACTCCTGTTAGATATTCGTTCATAGCAGTGTCCACTGTGTGGCAGAGGTGGTGAGGTGTCTGTTTGTGAGAGAGAAATTCTATGCTGAGGGAATAATTCTCAGTAATATTGTAAATATATATATATGTGTATTCATATATATGAATCAGTATCACCCACTGCCTTAATGGTACATATCTCCATGAAAAAAACATTTATCAGCCTGTCATATAAATGGAATATATCTCCATGAATATGTGTGTGTGTGTATCAGCCTCTTGCATAAATACTTTAACTTCCAGTAACACATTAGTTCGAAGCAGGGCCAGCCTGTGGCAGCTCATAAGTGATAGTTTTGCTGTAGCACAAAAGTTAGCCTGGGGTAAGCAATCAGATTCTCAATCACAGTAATTATTCATATTGAGAAAGCATTTGTTGATCACATTCTCCATTCAGACCACTCAGACAAATGATATCTGTGTGTGAATGTTAGAGCTGAAGAAAGATTTCCCCAGTGGAGCCAACAAAAGAGAGTTCTTTAATTAAATCTCTAGATTTGAGCAGCTTCTGTAAACGCACAGACAGTATGAAAACGCTAAACAGGAAGGCCAAGAGACAAATCAGATAGCTTGAGATTAATCTAGAAGCAACAAATTGAGCCATCTATAATGCAAAATTTGAAAGTCACTGTCTAAATCCATCCCTGCCTTGCAAAAGTTGACTGAGATTAAGATGATTCTGGCAACGGAGAGGCAGAAAGTTCCTAAAATCGAGTTTGGTCGAATCACGAGGATTTTTCTGATGCGTCCAAGAAACGATCTTTTCCCAGATAGAAATTCTGTTGTGCCTTCACTCTGTACCCTCAGATGTATACATTTTCATGGGGTTTTCCTGCCACTCTGGCAAAGAGGCCAGGCTTTCAGCCACGTCGCTATGGACAGGCCAGCCCCAGGCTTCAAAGAAAGGGGCCAGGTTCTTCTGCACGATCTCAGAGAACTTCCTCACCCACACATTCATCTTGCTCTCGTTGTCTTTGGGGAAGTTAGAGAGGGCTTGGTAGTCAGCAAAGATGTGCATGAATGGTTCCCACCCGAAGCCCTCCTGTAGCTGGAAAGAGAAAGAAATAGCAGAATTACACACGCAACCTGCAAGTCACCCCCCTGAACACATGCATGAAACCACATTGTGTGTGTGTGTGTGTGTTTTAGTAATAAGCTGTTGTGTTGATTTAGTTTGTCGGTGGGTCTCTCATTTCTTTTCCTCTAGAAGCCTGTCTCTGTGACTGGTGCCATATCCTCAAGCTGCCTCGGAACACCATCGGACAGATTTTTGTATTGTTACTCATTACTCATTCGATTCCTATCAGGGTCTCAGCAAGTAGCAGTTAATTTCAGCATTGTGTTTCCTGTTACTGCCAAGCTTAATGATGAAGACCTGAACCTGACTGAGGGGAGCTTAGATCCTTTCATCTTGTGCAGCTTAACACTGGGAAGGCTGGGATGGTCCTGCTTTAGATTTAGGAAGGAAAAATTCTTGCTCAACTATAATGACGTACTAGGCCATCAGAAGATGTTTACCTATAAACAACCATCCTTGAAGGTCCTCCTGGATTTGGGAGCCGTGCTGAGAGGCAGAGGCAGAGACATGTGCTTAGACAAATTACCGAAGCATGCACACACAAGCCCCTTTAGACTGTGGAGCTGGGGAATAGATATTGCAAAGGAAAATAATAAAGGGGGCTTACTGAGAGCACCAGAGAAGCCAGTTTGAGGAGCTACATGGTTGTTTCTTGATATATAAAGGAGACAAAACCGTTTCAGGTAGGGGAAAAGAAAATTGTTAGTAAAAGCCAGCAAGATGAGCGATGGCGAGCCAGCCGTTCTGAAGATGGAGCGTTTGCAGATTGAGTAACAGGTGAGAGATGGAGCTGGATGGAGGTAACTTGGTGCTGTACCTGAAGCAGAGAGCTACTGTGGGTTTAGCGTTTTCTGGCATCATTCTGCAAGATAGGTCCATTTGGGATGCAGTTTAGAGAGATGGAGATCAATACGAGAGTACTGGGGAAATGAACTTTGCTTGTGGTGTTGGATGTGGAACATCAGTAATGGTGAGAGGCAGCTACCTGGCCAGAAATTCAGTCTCAGACCCCACAGCTGCAATCTGTCCCCCAGGGGCTTCGATGTGAACTTGAAATGACAAGGTTTTGACTGACTCCATGACTGGGTCCTGTAGATTTTCTTTTTAGACAGCTTAAGAAGGAAGCCATTGTGGTCCAGAAGTAATCTCAGACTCACTGAAATCCCAAATGCAGTGAAACCACGAGACGGAGTGCCCTCACGCCCAAATCATTGAAACGAGGATCTAAGTTTGTCTTTCCTAATTAATTAGGTCAACAGCAAGCAGCTCACCTCTGTTATCCTGGAAGTTTGAGCATGTTTTTGTATGGCTACGTGAATATGTTTTTTTCATTGTATTTCCCACAGGTAGTGAGGACTTGGAAGGGAAGGGTTTTGATATACTGTAAAATACTGCACATTACTTCATTCTCATGTTTGAGGCTTGTTTAAGACAGCATTTTGAATAACTTGTTACCAGGTTGTTGCCCTTACTACCCATCTTCATAAAACATTGTTGGAGTGGGGTGACACTAATTTATCCTAAGCGAACAGTGTAGGTCGGGAGAAACTGTTTGCATTTGGAAAAGCTGAGTTTCACTGCGTATTTTCCGAGTATAGCCATGCATGTTTCCCATAGTGACCCCGCACACCCATTTTTTAAATTTCCAGTTATGTGGTAGAGGAGAGGAAACACACTTAGTTATCAGATGTGTCATGTCCGACGCCACCCTCCGCCTGTCTCCCATACCCGGGAAGGACATGCTCTGCCTATGGTTCTCGAGGTTCCCACCTCCCTGCATATCTGCTCAGTACCTGGAGATAGGTCTCTAGAGCTGTCCATACAACCCAGTTACTCAGGGGAGCTCCCTTGCTCAGGTGGTTTCTGATCCTCTGCTTCCGAAGTTCAGGTTTCAGAGAAGGGTGGACCCGATCCCTGTGAATGTTTAGAATAGCCTCATGCACATAAACAGACCAGAGATTACACAAAGCTTCAGTGGTGTGAGGCGGGAAATTCCATCTACCCTTCTGTTGGTTGTGGCCCAGCTCGTGTGTCACGCCCCAAATGCCGTGTGACCTCATTACCATGTCATCAGTGATGCCTTCTGCTATACTTATGTGGCCCATGATGGGGTATCCAGAATGAAGATAACCTGGGGGGGGGAGGAATAGCAGGAAGGTGATGAGGTGGCATGTGTAATGGCTTTTTGAAGACTACATCTCCACCATCCCAGAAAGCCCTGGGACACACCGAGTAAGCTCACCCTGGCCCCGCCCACTACGAAGGTTTGTTTACAGCCAGCCCATCAGACTCTCTTCTCTTTCTCTTGGACAGACTGTGACACCCGCCTGTGTTTCCCTGTGAAGGATATGTGTATGGAATGCGATGCTGACTGGCACCGTCCCTTATCTCCTCTATTTTTAGATGGGTGTCACATGTGTGGCTTGTGTCTGGGTGTCCAACACTGAGGGGGAACAGTAAGGTTCTCCTCCAGTTTAGTCTTAACCTTAAGGGATCATTTTGTAAGTCTGCAGATGGCAATTAGTTTTCTCACCGTCCCCTCCACACCCATTGTTTCTCCTGTCTTAGTCAGCATTAACAAGTCCTCTTGACACCCCTGAAGCTTACTGGGTACCCATCGCTTGTCTTTTCTCTTGCCCAATTTTGGTTCCATTCAATTATCTTCCATGAGAACACGTGTGAAGAATTCACAGATTTTACTTCTCACTCCAACTATCCTGTAACGCTTCACATTTTTTTTTTTTTTTTTTGAGATTAAATGATGATGATGGCCTACATTCTCCACTGATCTCTATAAAATTATGTCATCAATTGATGCTCAACTCTCAGAGTATTCATACGGAGTACCTACCAAATGAAATCTGCTTGTCAAGTACAACCCTCTCAGGCCTTTGAAAAGGGAAGGGCGTGGCTGCCAGCCTAGCTACAGCCTGTACAATCTCTTCCCAGAGTTGGAGCAGTGGGCGTGGATCCTGAAGGAACTTGAGATGGTCAGTTGGGATGGTCAGGATAATATTGTCTGTGGCTAGTTCTCCCCAGGGGGCTTCGCTGTATTTGGTAACATTCTCCCATTCCTTCTGGGTCGTCATACCTGGAAATAAAGGTTATACACCACGTTTCCTGGGTTTCAACTGTAGCCCGTCAATTGTGGGTCACACAGACAGATAACTTGGTAATAAATCTTTTTTTTTTTTTTTTGTCTTCCCTTGTCCTCCCTTTAGACTTCCTAGAAGAGGGTGCTCATATTTCTTAGCCCCTTTCTGTCTTGGGACTCACCACTCCCTGAACCCTCCATTGGCTTCTCTCAAGCCAGGTGCCCTCTCCCACTCCAATGTCCCTTCCGCTTTGTGCCCATTATGAGACTGGGTCTCCTACTCACCCATCCTGAAGTATGGAGCAGACACAGCCCCACTGATGGTGACAGACACACCTTGATGGTTGTAATTGTGGGGAACGATGATGTAGAGAAGCCCCCCATAGAGCCAGGAGATGGACTTCTGGGATGAATTTAAGTGGTATTGGTACGTCATCACAGGAGGGCGGTGGTAAGTCTTTGCTTTACTTATGTTGTCCGTGTGGCAACCAATGAGGACCTATCACGGGGAGCAGAGGTCATCATGAGAATGGTCGAACCACCTCTTCTCTGTGTATATGTGTATGTATGTATATATATGTGTATATGTATGTATATATGTATGTTTATGTTTATGTGTATGTATATGTATGTTTATGTGTATGTGTATATGTATGTATATGTATGTTTATGTGTATGTGTATATGTGTATATATGTGTGTGTATGTGTATATGTATGTATATATGTATGTGTATGTGTATATGTGTATATATGTGTATGTGTATATGTGTGTATGTGTATGTGTATGTGTATATGTGTGTATGAGTATATGTATGTATATATGTATGTGTATGTTTATGTGTATGTGTATATGTGTATATATGTGTATATATATGTGTGTGTATGTGTATATGTATGTATATATGTATGTGTATGTATATATGTATATGTATGTATATATGTATGTGTATGTGTATATGTATGTATATATGTATGTGTATGTTTATGCTTATGTGTATGTGTATATGTGTGTATATATGTATATGTGTATGTGTATATGTATGTATATATGTATGAGTATATGTATGTACATATGTATGTGTATGTTTATGTGTATGTGTATATGTGTATATGTGTATATATATGTGTATGTGTATATGTATATATGTGTATGTGTATGTGTATATGTGTGTATGTGTATATGTATGTATATATGTATGAGTATATGTATGTATATATGTATGTGTATGTATGTATATATATGTGTGTGTGTATATATGTGTGTGTATGTGTATATATATATGCATATATGTGTATATGTATATGTGTATGTGTATATGTATGTATATATGTATGTGTGTATGTATGTATATATATGTGTGTGTATGTGTATATATGTGTGTGTATGTGTATATGTATATGCATATATGTGTATATGTATATGTGTATGTGTATGTTTATGTGTGTGTAAGAGGTCTGGCAGAGGTGGCACAAGAACCTTAGAATGACAAGGGTCACGCTCATAAGGAGAATATTTCTACTACTTAGGCACTTTCTCCAGGGCGCCCTTACTTGTTGGTGACCACTCTTTGTTCTCTGTAGAGTTTGGGGATTAAAAAAAAAAGAATTAAATAAAACTAGCTCCAAGGTAAGTATTGACCCAGAGAGCACACTGCCCATGTCTCTGCCATTTTCTTTGGGTCTCCATAAGTGAGCACTGTGGTAAACAGTTTATGGAGTTGAAGCTTGGAAAACATTTGGACAGTATTTCAGAGACTCCAAGACAGAAAGAAGGACGAGAGAAGCTTTGACAGTGAGTAGAGATTGAGAGACATTTCTAAGCATCTATGGCGTGTCAAGGCTCAGCTTTCCAATGACTAATATCTTTGTCTATAAAAGGGGGGGCTGGTGAGGTTGTTGGGAGAATCTAAAATGTTACTGAGGAGGGGCAGGAGGATCTCTGTAAGTTTGAGGCTGCCTGGCCTATACACAGAGCGTTCCAGGATAGCCAGGGCTACTTAGAGAGACCCTGTCTGAAATAAACACAGAAATCGCTAGAAGAGAACGCAAAGCTACTATGGATATGGCAAAAGTTCACTTACTGGGGAGCCCAGTGCATTACCTTCAGCTTGGCGTTAATGGCTTCCCTGGGAAGTGTGATTTGGGCCACCTGACCTTCAGGCAAGTAGAGTCCGGTGCTCACCCAGGAACTGCGGTTGTCTGATGGGAGTCATAAGGACAGTTGTCTTTTCATTCATCATTTCACCTTCACTCAGAATCCCGACCCCACCAGCAGAGCTACAGGGGCTCCCAGACAATCCTTTAACCACCCAAGCTGCCGGTGTTCCTAAACTTCCCTTCTTAAAAGTCCACAGAAAGAAAAAATGGACTTTTAAGAAGGAAACACCGAGTAGCAATGCTGACACCAGCCAGCCAGCCCCCTGATTCTCCAGTCCTGAAAGCCCAGGGTCCCCTCTCCATTCCTCACCTGGGCTGATTTTAATAACCACTGGAGATTCTGTGGGAGGTAGTAAGGAGGGAGGAGGAAGCAGCTGAGATACATCGACTCCGGATTTGAATAATTCGTAAGCCAGGGAAAGCAGAAAGGCCTGAGAGCTGCCTTTTAAGATGGGGTGTTTCTCACTCACGCTTGGGAAGCCCTCACGTTGGATGATTTTTAGGGCATGTCCCCTCACAGAGTCATAGATAGAAATTCTCTGATGTGCCATTTGAAACATGTAGGAGCAGTCTTTCACGAGCTTCTTCAGCAACTTCTCTTGTGATACGAAATTCTGGCTGTAGATCTTGGACTCAAATTGGGCCAGGGCTTTGCGGATGTGGTAGTCTATCACCCAAGGGTTTGGGACTGGGAAGGAGCCTTGGTTGGCTGCCTGGCTTGTGATGCCAAGGCCAAAGCATTTAAGGATGATGTTATTTGGGTACCGACTCATACACTCAGAATCTTGGTTCACGTGTCCCTGTAACCAGGCCTCTGCACCAACCAGCAAGCCACCGCCTTCTGCAACAAATTCCTCTACCTCCTTGGGATCCATATTGGTGAGTGAGCAGCAGCAAAAGACACTCAAGTCGCTGGTCAGATGCTCCGTTTCCCTCCACTGGAAGCCGCTGTCTGGCAACATAGACTTCAGTGCTTTCATTTCCGAAGCCAACCCAACCCTGCCTGTGTGAGGCCCCATCAGCCAGCGCAAAGCATTGAGTACAAATGGCAGCATTCTATCACTAAGCATCAAACTCTTGTGTCCCCCCAACACCACGCGGCCATGGCCACAGCGGGCAGCTGCAAGGAAGCAGTTGAATGAGTTGTCTACGCCCAAGGGAAAGGCCCGCTGCCCGTGTACCAGCAGCTGGGAGGGGACTGCCTCTGTGTCAATATCCATCCCAGATATCCCTTCCAGGAGCCGCTGCTGGTCATCCTTGATCTCATCCTCACACCTGGAAAGGAACGGTTCTCATGTCAGTGAGGAGAAGTGAGTATACACAGGGCAGCAAAGATGGTCCAGGACTTCAGTGCTTTCGGCACAAAACAACCTTTTACGACACCTGTGATCACAACATTCAGGAGGCAGAGGCAAGCAGATCTCTACAAGAACCACAGAGACCAACCTGACCTACAAAGCAAGTTCCAGGACAGCCAGGGCTGTTACATAGTAAAACCTTGTTTTGAAAAAGAAACAAATGAAAAAAAAAAGTGAACGGATGAGAGGTTTTTTTTTTTTTTTTTTTTTTAAATCTCATTTTGATGCATCTTCAAATCAGCTTCAACTGAGAGCATTGAACAGGACAAGACCTCTATGTATCACACAACGAAGCTTGACATATACATAGAAATCATCCTAGTAAAACTTCCCAGAGAACTGCTGCCGATTCTAATACTTAACTTGCATCTTTGTATCATTAACAGTGTCACATAAATTAGTGTGTAATCAGCTTTGGGCATGAGTCACCGGTAGAGCACTCACCACCCCTGTGAAAGGCCTTGGTTTGCAACCCCAATACTGGAAAAAACAGAAACAACAGCAATTTAAGTGGATAAAACTGGAAATTAGAGATAGTTGCACTGAAGGAGATAAACCAGGCTCACAAACTTTACATATTTCCTCCCATATGCAGAATTTTTAAAGAATTATATAAAAGTATAAGAGGGATTATTTAGGAAGAGAGCCAGGGGGAAGATGAATCCCAGACAGGGTAATGGGGTGACTATGAGGAACCTGTGTGACGTGGATGCACAATGCTACCATAATGCATTATAAATATAAGCTGATAACAAGAGGAAGTAAGGGGAATGGGCAGAAAGGAAAGAGAGACTGGAGGGCAGGAGAGGGAAGGGATGGGAAGATAAGAGGAAGGGAATAAAGGAAAAAACAAAACTGGAAATAGTGATCCAGGGGAGAGAAGGAGGGAGGGGGTAGGGAGGGAGGGGGTAGGTAGGGAGGGAGGAAGAACTGTATGTAAAATAAGATATGTAAAATAAGAAAAAAAAGTGATCACAGAAGCTATGTGTATATATGTCACCAAAAACAAAAAAACAAAAAAACCCAAAAAAACCCACAAAGCAAAAACCTACAAAAACTGCAGGGTATTGGACAAAAGGCGGTAGGAAATATTTGCAACATGTAAAAAACGATAAGCAGTTTCTATAATACAGAAAGGACAGTTAGTAACGAGTAAGAAAAAGATGAAAGTTAAGTAGAAACACAGAAGAGCAGACATTTCAAGAAAGAAATAAGAATTGTTATAAATATTTTAAAAAAATTTTCTTCGAATTGGTAGTCAGAAAACACAAATGAATAAAGTTTCTATTCCATAGTGACAATATACTAAACAAAACCTTATGATATTTAGTACTAGTATTAGTATAGGCTGTGTTTTGCTATAAAAGTTAACATAGCCTTTTAAAATGGCAGTTTTCAATTTCAAAAGACAATTCATAACAAATATTTTTAATTGGCCTTTTCCTGATTAGATGAGGTGTAAAAACTTGCTGTATGTGATGAGCTGTAGATACTCTTGTGGAAAGTTTTAACAGCAAGTATTGATAATAACTTAAATTTCTCCTCTTCTGTATCATGTCATAGCTACTCTCTCTATTTTTGTTTCTGTTTTTGTTTTTTAGACAGGGTTTCTCTGTGTAGCCCTGGCTGCCCTGAAACTCACTCTGTAGACCAGGCTGGCCTGGGACACAGAGAGTTATCCACCTCTGCCTCCAGAGTGCTGGGATTAAATGTGTGTGTACCAGCACCACCCAGTACTATAGTTACTCTTAATGGAATTTTTTTGGATGAAAAGCATTGGGCAGTTGATCCAATCCCACAGTCAATGAAAATCAGCATTCATCCCTTTCTTATCAAACCTTTATGAAGATTCCTGCTCCACTACAGAAGAAGATGCCACAGGGCTCTCTCTAGCTGTCTCTCCACACTTTGCCACTTTTAGCTCAGATGTTACCCATTCCTGATGGCCCTACTTTGCTCCAGGAGAGAGGTTCATGAATGTAAAGCTACACAGTTTATTCCTGTCACATTTTCCTTGCTAGCCCTGGAATAGATTGACATTGTGTTTGATTGATTGATTGATTGATTGATTGATTCATTCATTCATGTTTAGTCCCTATTCACAATGCCAGGTCTTGCATGATGTTCTAAAAGGACAATGATAAGCAACAAAACAGACATAGTTAACTTTTTAAATTTCTCTGTGTGTGAGGGAACATGTGTACCTATGCTTGTTTACTTGTGTGTGTGCTCACATCTGTGTGTAGATGCGAATGTATGCGCGTGCAGATCGTGGCTACCTGAACTGGTGTTTAGAAGTCTTCATGGCTCACTCCCCTCTTTCTCTATTGATGCTGACCTCTCACTTGAACCCAGACATTACCCATTCAGAAGCAGCTTCCTTGTCTCCACCTCCCACATACTGGATTATTGTATGGCCTCCATGCCAACCTCCCATTCCTGTGGACTCTGGACTTCTAATTACACTTGCTTAGCAAGGACTTTTCCTCCTCAGCCATCTCTCCAGACGTGAACAAACACAATTTATTCCTCATACATTTTGTAGACCTTTTCTGTACTTACCTTCAAGTTGTAACCACTCCTTTATAATTACCTACGAAGAGGAGACTCAGTAGTAAGTAAAACAAAATACCCCAACCCCAAAGTATTTAATAGCAAGTCTATGCTAGAGAACATAAGATAGTGTTGCTTAACTTCTATGATGGTCTGTATAGGAATGGCCCCCATAGAGTTCCATATTTGAATGCTTGGTCACTAGGAAGTGACACTATTGGGAAATGTGGCCTTGTTGGAGGAAGTGTGACAATGGGGATGGACTTTCAGATTGCAAACGCTCAAGCCAGGCCCAGAGTCTCTCTCTGCCTCTCTCTCTCCCTACTGCCTGCCAGTCTAGATGTAGAGCTCTTGCCGCCTTCTCTAGCAGGATGTCTGCCATCCCTCCGTGATGATAATAGACTAAACTTCTGGACCTGTAAGCTATCCCTAATTAAATGTTTTCCTTTATGACTTGCCATGGCCGTGGTGTCTCTTCACAGTAATAGAACACTAAGACAACTACCATAGGTGGTGATTACATTAGTATTTATAGTTATTTCACTCTGTGATAACCAGCCTGTCCACTGTTAGGCTGAAAGCTCCTGTTAAGTAGGGTAGTTGGCCTGATACTTAAAAAGAGAGGGAAACATCACTTACTTAACATAAAGTGTGAGAGTAGGTATCTCTTTAGAGACCTCAAACCAGTCTCTATCCCCACAGACATCTGTGAAGTACACTCCGGCCACGCTTGTCACCTGGTTCCCAGGGAAACTGGACAGCACCCTGCCACTGCCATGTTGACTGGCCCAGTACCAGGCCTGGCCCCCAATGAGCAAGCCCCCGCCACGCTTCACAAACTGGACCAGCTTCTCAGTCACGGTGTCACTGTAGGCATCAGTGCAGTAAACACCCAGAGTCTCTCCAGGTTCAGGCTGAACCAGTGCCTGTAGATCAGAGCCACTTAGGATGCTAACTAGAGATGCCAAGGAGGGATGCACTACAATGTGAGCCCCTGGGGAGGGGCGGAGCCACCTCACTGCATTGAGAAGAAATGGGGCCAAGCCAGCATGCAGCAGGTAGCCCTCGTGGGACATGACCACCAGGCGGCCCTGGCCATAGGAAGAGGCAGCAATGAGCACCTGTCCCTTGTCATTCACCATCACCGGGAAGGCGGCCTCCCCAGTGAGAAGGAGTTCACAAGGGACAGATTCTTTGGGAAGAGCCCAGCTGGTTACTCCATTCATGAGGGCCTCAAAGGCGGCAGCGGGAGTTGTTGCCATGGTCCTGCCAGCTGCTTCAGTGGACACGTGGACTCTGGATGGTGAATCAAAAAACAGGTACTAAGTGAATGAGAGCAACTAAGTGTTCTTAAACAGGGGCTTGCATGAGAAAGCCTATCCTCAGGCTTAAGAAGTCAGAGTACTTACCTCTCCTCTGACTTCCTGGGAGCTTCGCCCTCAGGAAGTATTTTCATCATTCAAGGTATTTCTTACTATCTCTTTCCTACTTCCACCCAGATGCACCCCATGACTCTCTTTCATTGACTTAGTTCTCCTCTCTTCTAGCTCCATGCTGCCCATCGGACACTGTAGTCACAGCTGCTCTTCATCTATAAGATTCCCATGGCTTCCCCAACCCAGGCTTCTTTAATTCACTCAGACCCTTGATTTTGTTAAGCATATTACAGTTACCAGCCCCAATTCTTATTCGTGAGGAACTGAGCTCATCTTTACTTTCTCAGAAGGGCAAACATTTGAACTTATTTCTTTCCGTGTAAAGAAGATACCATCAACCTTGGGAGGTCTGATGTAGAAGTTGATTTGTTTAGAGACTGGCACATGCATCCATCAAAAGCTGACTCCTATATATTCATCACTCTCCCCGGTCACTCAGGATGATGGGGAGCAGCACATTTTTGGAATCATGCTTGCCTTCTCTTTCCTCCTCTATAAACACCCCATCATCAAAACTTGCAACGGATGCCTCTAGTCTGCTCCAGGACCTTAATTAAGGCTTCAGGCTTGAACTGTACAAATCGTCACATGAGCTCTCCTGGTGAGAACCCTCACTGATGGTTATTTTTACTGTCAAGTTGAGACAACCTAGACCTACCTGGGAAAAGAATGTCACTCAGGGATTAGCCTGTGTGCATGTCTTAGGGATGGCTATCATATTTGTTTGTTTTGCTTTTTCAAGACAGTTTCTTTGTATAACAACCCTGGCTGTCCTGGAACTCACAGAGATCCGCCTGCTTCTGCCTCCCCAGTGCTGGGATTCAGGGTTGCCTTGATTGTTAATTAGGGGGATAGAACCAAGGAGCCACCGCTCCCTGTGTTGGGTTCTGGACTGTGTAAGAGCAAAAGAAGCAAGCAAGCAGGAGGCACAGAGCATTCATTTCTCTTTTTTCCTGGGGTGTGGTGTGACATCCTCTTAAACCCCTACCCCGTGAACACCCTGAGATGATGGGCTATAACCCGAAATTGTGGACTAAAATAAATCTTTCCTCCCCTGAGTTACTTTTTGTCAGGGTCTTCGTTAGCCCAAGAGAAATATAAGCAGAGAAGGCGGCTCACTCCTGGGAAAACTGGGACCCTCCTTTCAGTTTGGAAATGGAAGTATGGGCTCTGCCTCACCATGACATTTTAGTTTTATACTCCATTCTATTCTCAATAAAGAGTCTATTAAAAAAAAAAAAGGAGAATCTGACTTCAGACTTGTAGTCTGCAACAGCTCATTTATTGCAAGCTGCCACGTGTCTTCTTGCTTTTGCTGTCTTCCATTATTCAGTTACTAAGAGAAGCCCGGTAGCAAGGCACTTGCCTTTATTCTGAGCACAGAGACTTATTCATACAAAGCACAGGGGGCAGGGTCTTTAGACGCAAACAGGGCTTTGACTCATCCTGAAGTCAGATTGTGAGCAGGTGTTGCTACAGGAACAACATGCCTTCCCAGTGAGCGATCCCTCCACACTCTTTGCCGGCTGGGGCTAAGGCCCAAGCAAGAGGCAAGCTTGAACAGAAGGTTTTACGAATCTACACAACGTAGGCTTATGCATTCCCCAAACACTGTCATCTTTAAATCTCTTTGTCCCTGACCCAGGTTACACGTTGTACAATTTAAACAGACACAGGAGACTGTGAGTCTGGCTGCTCAGGCAGATAGGAGATTTACACAGCAAAGCCACTGCCAGAGTTATTTCTTAAGTACACCTGTGTTGCTCTTTTCAAAGAGTTGTCACCCAGGGTCATCTTGCTGGACTGGCAGAGTTACGTTTCTCCTGATAAGAGCACAGGGGACTTAATGGCAGACTAGACTTGATGGTGGCTGTGGCCCCATGCTGTCCTTCTCAAGCTGCCCTTAGAGGTATGATTCAGGGATGGGCAAAATGGCTGCTTGTAAGTCAGGGATAATTTCTTTGTTATGGGCATGGAGCGAAGCGGTAGGTGAATAAGTGTGTACATCCTAGCATTCTATACTTCCCTTAACAGGCCTGGTTAGCAGCCTGTTCATCTCTGGGGTATTTTGGAGGTGGTGCTCCTTAGCCTAAATTCTCCTTGTGGGACTTAATGTCTCCTAAATAAATCTATTAGAAAAAGAAAATTCTTTTAAATTTAAATGGTTCTCAACCCTTTGTCGAACCTCCAACTCTAAAAGAATTTATATTACAATTCATAACAGTAGCAAGATTATAGTATTGAAGTAGTAATGAGATACTTTTCAGGTTGGGGAGTCACTGCAACATGTAGGGTAGGCACTAAAGGGTCATAGCATGGGGAAGGTTGAGAACCATTGCTGTAGAGTATCAGCTTTATTATTTCTTTCACATCCGCATGGCACTGAGAGGCTTCCCCAGCTGACTGCACAGACACCTCTCCAGCTAGCAAGGTTGCTGAAGAATGAGAGGAGACTTATGTTCATTCTGAAAAGCAAGACGGATAGCCAAGACTCTCCAACTTCAAGAGCAGCCCAGCCTGTCAGCTGTAGCTGGTGACTGGTTTTCAGACAGTTGAAAGACTTGCTTACCCCACGCCAGCTTCAGAAAGAGCAGGCGAGGCACGCTCCCCTCTTAGTGTAGCTGCTGATTAGGCAATTGTCTACTTAGTACATGGCTACTTTTTCTGTTACTGAGGTAGCCAGAGACATATGCAAAGAAACTTTTACTTGAACAAAGAAATGGATAGTTTCTTTTTTAAAAAAAATTATTTATTTATTTTTATTTTATGTGCATTGGTAATTTGCCTGCATGTATGTCTGTGTGAGGGTGTCAAATCTTGGAATTACAGACAGTTGGGAGCTGTCATGTGGGTGGTTGCTGGGAATTGAACCCAGAACCTCTGAAAGAGCAGGTAGTACTCTTAACTGCTAAGCCATCTTTCCAGTCCAGAAGTAGTTTCAATCAACAGATTCTAGAAGGAGTACTGATAATACTCAACATCATTTCAGAAGCAAGTATTCAGAGAGAGCTTTAAAAACTCATCTGCTGGCTTTGCTTGAAGGGGGAAGGATGTTGTTCGTCTCCTCAGGTCATAGGAGATCTTATCAGAGATTCTAGGTGAGGTAGAACCAGTCCAGAACTGAGAGAGAGAGAAACATTCTGCCACCCACCTAATGACAAGGGACAGGGTGGCCCTTGAGAGGATGGGTTTGCATAAAGTGAGACGCTTCTACTCATACTTTTTCTCTCAGATGGGTTAGAGGGTCCTTCCCTCTTTCCAGTATGAGGTAAAAATAACACAAGGCCCTTATCATTGTGTTTGCTGGATCTTGGACTCTGCAGCCTCTAGATCTATGAACCCAAATCAGCATCTTTCTTCTTTATATACCATTTTTTGGGGGGTACCTTTTATTATTATTATTTTTTTACAGCAACAGAGAATATAATAAACCATAGTGTAACCACAAGCCCAAGGTACAGTTCCCAGCTCTAAAATCCAAAGAAAGGATGTTGGTAACATCCCTTTCCTTCCATGCCTACACAGCAGAGACTTAATATTTGAGCAAGAGCCACATCACTCACCTGGGAGTCTTCTGACTGTAGCTCAGGTCTCCTGAGGAGAAGAGATGTCTGTGTGGATTTAGGGTGGATGATCTGGAGATTTCATGCATAAGGAAAGAGGTATGATCCCTTTCCGGTAGGATCCTTCTTCCTGCTTCCTCTTGGAAGGGTGGTGCTTGGCTTGGAGATGTCTGTAAACCCCTAAGGGACACCGAGGCTGTACTTCTTGTGAGTCTGTGAGTCATTTCTTGAGGGGTCTGTGCCTCTAACCCTTGCTGAAGTGACCTGAACTCTGAGTTTTTCAGGCTTCTTCAGTTGCAACAGTAGCTAACTGTATCTCCAGGAATCAGCTCCTTCCTCAGTAAGCTAGTCTTTCCTTGTGGTAAGCAAAGGGGTCCCTCAAAGCTTCCATAATCTTCAGAAGCAAACCAGGAGTGTTAGCTCTAATCACCAACTCGACACAACTGCGAATCATCCAGGGAGAGTCTCAATAAAGAATCGTGTCCCCGTGGTTATGTCTATGGAGGATTGTCTTAATGAAGTTAATTGGTATGGAATATCCATAGCACTGTGGGTAGTACCGTTCCTTAGGCAGTGAATCCTGAACTGTTAAAAGAATGGAGAAAATGGGCTAACTAAGAGCAAGTAAAGGGGCAAGCGTGTGTTGGTTCTCTCTCTGCTCTTGACTGTGGATGTGATTAGCTGGCCAGGTTCCTGTTAGTTTGGCTTCCTCACTGGACTGTAACCCGAATCAGTGAGAGAGATAGAACCTATTTTGCTCTGAAGCTGCTAAGTAAAACTAGGCCAGTGGGTGAATATCATAGACCATGATGCCTGAGTGAGGCAAAAGGCTTTAAAAGTATGGACAGAAGCAGCGAGATCTGTAATCAACCATGGTCAAATCCCATTGAAGAATTTCTTTGGAAGACCCATGCTGATCTTCAGTTAGGAAACTGGAACGTCACTACTTAGCCAGATGGTGCCAACTGGGGAATTGTGAGTTGGGTGATTGTCACTGTGGTGAGAGGCACAAAGCAAGGTACTGGTATAGGTCATAGGCAGCTTAGCTGTGGCCTCCCTTATGATGAGTACTGATTCATGAAGATTGACTCACCCAAAGACAGCAGGCTAAATACCCATTCACTAGAATCAAGTCACTGATACATTGACTTACGAGCCTACTACCTAATCTCTTGATTTTTTTTCTTGCCATTTGTATAACACTCAGGGTTTTGTACCTAACGAAAGACATATTTTAACTAGTCATGAAAACATGCCTAATTT